GTTACAGAGCCATTACTAAATCATAGGTCTCACTTTTAAAAAAAAAAAAATCTTTTCTATGGGGAAATTATTAAATGAAAAATTGAGTTATAGTTGAAGTTTTCTCTGTAATTTAACTGTAGTGCCAAATGGGTTAAAACCTGCTTAAGATTATTCTGCCGTTGATTTTTACTTGTGTTTTTACTGCTTTTAATATGTGAAATCAAAAATCACATCTCTGTCTTGGAGAGGTAAAGTCCAAATTCAGATAAGTATGTATAAGTATAGGCTTTGGCTTCTTATTTATCTTACAGGAGAGTTCAGTTAATTTGTGGGGGGAAGGAAACTAATAAAAAAATGTTTATGATTCAGTGAGTGGAAACATTTTGGATTTAGTGAAATGTATTCCTAGCACGTAAAAGGTTACCTGTAAATATAAGTTTGCAGGAGTCATGGAAATCTTCCTTAAATTTCTTCATTGCCTTCAGTTTCTTAGCAATGCTTTCTTTGACCAAAGAGTATGCCATAGCCAGGCATGATGACACACACCTGTAATCCCAGCATTCTGAGAGGCTGTGGCCAGGAGGATTGCAGGTTCAAGCCCAGCCTGGGTGACTTAGTGACTTAGCAAGACCCTTTTTCAAACTAAAAAGGCCAGGGCTGGGGATTTAGCTCAGTGGTTCTGCTGCCTGCCTCACAAGTGCAAGGTCCCAAGTTCGATCCCTGGTACCAAAAAAAGGAAAAAGAAAAGAAAAAGGCCTAAGGATGTAGTTTAGTGCAAAGATCATGGTTTCAGTCTCCAATGCTACACCAGAAGGGGGAAGGGATATACCAGTAACCTAGCATTAACAGGTAAGATAGGGCTGCTATTTTTTATCTTTTCTGTTTTAATAACTGGGAAAGTAAAGAAATTAATCTCTTTTTCCTGACTTATGACCATCTTTATAACCTACAAATATCTTCTACCATATAGAGAACATGAGGATGCCACCAGAGGCTGTTGCATTTGGTTTTATTTCTCTCATGAAGACTGTTGAGTGTTTTAAGTAGATATAATACCTTTTTTCCCTCTATCTCCATCCTCATTGTTAGTCTTTGTGGCTGGTTTTTTATAATGTTTTTTTTGTTTTTTTTTTTGGTACTAGGGATCAAACTCGGGACCTTGCACTTACAAGGCAGGTGCCGGAACCACTGAGCTAAATCCCCGGCCCTTTTATAATCTTTTTGTAGGTGTTGGACTAGCTAACTTTACTCTGGAAATGTCTTTTTCATTGCTAGAATGGCTTTGCAAATTAATGTTTCTATTAATATATAGCTAACATTGGAGTGCTGTGTTTACCTTTAGAGAGTTCACTGAAATGGACTCTGGGACTCTGAACCATCAGAAGTATATTGCCATGTTTGTGGCTCTTACATTCTATTTTTATTTTATAGGAACAGGGCCAACTGCTGCTCCTGTAATGTGCATTACTGTGTCATTATTAATATGTGAATCACATACTAATTAACCATTATGAACAGGGATATTGGATCCTCAGAGATTTCTCATATAGTTGGCCTTTATTTTCCAAAAAAATTAAATCATTTGACTAGTGCTTTTAGAAGAACCACATGATTTAACAAAAGATGACTGTTTTCTTAGAAAGATTATGATCAAAGGCCTAAAATCCCATTGTGTAGATATTCCTGGAGATAAGTATCTTTAGAATCAGAAGAAGCAAAATTATTTAACCAAATTGTTAGCAAGAGCTAGATGTATGATACAGCCTCAGCCATTAGTGGATTCATTGTTGTAGTCATTTGTTTTGGTTATATTATTACACATAAAGAGAAAGAAAGGCATTCATTATCATTAACTTAAAAAGACAGAATGAAGCCAGCAGGATTTTTACTTTGGTTTCTGATGTGCACCATTAAAATTGGGTTTTCTTCACGCAATTATATATCTGATTGTCCATATCCAAAAGGAGAAAAACAGCTATTTTTACCCTACTCTTTACTATTTACTATTTATTGTTACTTACTTTACTATTTTGTTTTGTTTTGTTTTCACATGAAGCCATATCTTAGAATGTTTTCTATGACTGTCCTCTTTATTCCCTCTTAAATACATTTCTTCTTTTGAACAACCAATGTTTGTTTTGTTTTAAAATTTTATAT